TTGCGAATTCAATACTCCGCTACCAGTATTCCTATGATACTTAAAGGACCATGGGACTTGGTGACTAGGGCTATCAATAAGGTAACTATACTTCTATGTACTTATAACCCCAATTAGGGTACTTATAGCCTTACTTACTAAGCCCCCTGATCCTCCAAGTAGCTGTCTGCTATCCTTGTGATGGCTGTTGCCACCACCCTAAACTTCCAACCCTCCCTAAAACCCTGAACCTAAAATCCCCAGCCCTCAAAACCTTAAATCCTAAAGTCAGAAACCCTCAACCCTAAATCCTTCAACCCTAAACCTTAAAGCCCTCAACCTTAAAACCATAGCTAACTGCACTCTCCGCCTTTCGGCCTCGTTGTGGCTCCAGCTCGCCAGGGCCCATGAGGGCTGGCGTGGAGGGGTAGTGTGTGGGTGGGCTTTCGACTCTCAGGTTCAGGGGTTCAGGGGTTCAGGGGTTCAGGGGTTTAGGGGTTCAGGGGTTTAGGGGTTCAGGGGTTTAGGGGTTTAGGGGTTTAGGGGTTTAGGGTCCCATTGCCTTCTAGGGTGTGGTGGGGCTGCACTTTTGGTGCCCGCCCCTGTTGGCAAGCTTCTTTACTTCTCAAGTAGCAGCCTAAAGCCTAAACCCCTAAACCCTAAACCCTAAACCCTAAGCCCTAACTAAGCCCCCAGCAAGCCCTAAGACCGTATGACCTAGCTTTCGAGGCTCTCAGAGTCTCAGCCAGGTATTCGGCCGTCCGGCCAGAAACCCCGTAGTACTACTCATGCAACTACCCAGACTAAGTGTACTAGCAGTAGTACTAGCTGGTCCATTAATAAGAACAGTAAAAATAGTAATATACTCTGTTAAGTGTACTAGCAGTAGTACTAGCTAGTCCATTAATAAGAACAATACTCATACTATGTGCATGAGCAGTGATACTAGCTGGTCCATTAATAAGAACAGTAAATATAGGCAACATACTCTGTGAAGCCCGAAGCCTCCAGCATAGCCTGTCGCGATCCGTGGTGGGTTCGTCTGGAGACAAGTCGGAGACGACCTTTGTGCCTGTGCTTGAGGTTAGGAGGCTGATGTCTTTCTGTTCTTCTAAGTATTATAAACCCCAAACCCTAAACCCTAAACCCTAAACTCGTGCCATCTTCGTTTCTGATTGTTGATGTTGATTACAGCAGCGCTGGATCCCTGCGCGGCGCCTTTACTCTGCAAGCCGAGGTAATACAGCTCAGCGTGCATGGGATGAGGGCGATGAAGACTAGACCTGGGAGTTTGGTTCCCAAACTCTAAACCTTCATTGCACGCAAAACACCTTAAACCCGGCACAGCTTGTGTGCACATGCAGACATATCACTCACGAGTCACCGTTCACATCTGCAGAAGGACACGCAATATAGAAGCTTGAGTAATGTTCAGTTTTCGTACGAAGAAAACATATTCTCCACTTGTTTGACAAGTAGGGTTGAACTATTTAACCTTTTTGTAGGGTTTCGCCCAGATTTCCCTCCGTCCCTTTGCAAAGGATTGGCATTCCTGCAACACCTGTGTTATTGTACAAAATCCACTACGCGCGTAGCGAGCCACCATGTTGGTCAGCCATCCAAGATAGTCTGCGTGTGTGGAGGGTTTTTCAGGCGGGATGAAGCAGAAGCTCGTACTTAGAGGATCATGGGACTTAGTGGGTTATCATTGGGGTTATACGTCCCCTAACTGGGGTTATCTTAATTATAACCTACTTATAACCTTACTTACTAAGTCCCATGAGCCTTCAAATAGTACCCTAAACCCTAAACCCTATAGATCCCTTTAAGGAGCCCCTATAGCTCCCTTTAAGGACCCCTTTAAAGTTACTAAGTCCCATGAGCCTTCAAGTATTATGGAAGCCTCAGGAGGTCTCGGTATCCCTTGCAATAAAGCTAAGCTCTGCTTCATGCGCTCATCTTTTTTTGGAACTCAAGTAGAGTCTGATTTTAAGGGCTTCTTTTACTTCTTTTAGCCTTCCCTTCCAGTAGACTTATAGTACCCGGTATAGTATAGATAGTCTTATGACACCCCTTGCGGTGCCCTTGACCTTACATGGCCTGGATTGATATTTGGCTTTGAGATGCCGACCCCGGCAAAATGATCATCTTAGCACCCTGGTCTAGGCCTTCGGACCAAGGGAAGATTCTTAGCCCCGAACCCCAAAGCTTTAGTGCAAAATCGAGGTTTGCCTGAAGCCCTTCTCATGTTCGAGCTTCAGGGTTTTGAGGTTCTAGAGCTTGAAGTCTCCCCTGACGCCCTTCGCCCGCGATCTGCGCAACCAGAGGCGCGAGCTTCGACATTGGAGAAGATGATCCCTGTAACACTGGCTCCCTGAACTGCATATGGAATTTTCAGGAGTTGAGTTTTCTGTCATGCAGGGAGAATTTGTCGGCAACAAGGCGGTGGAACGCTAGAACCGGGATCCTAAATCTTTCGTTGAAAGCCAGCACCCTCGTCGTCCTCGTCGCGGCAGCAGGAGGATGAGGGGTAGTAGCAGCAGTAGTCTTGCTACTACTGTTTTACGCGCTTGTTCTTTTTTGTACTTCGGGCAGTGTGGTCATGAGTCGTAGTCGCAGTAGTGGTGGTAGTCGTAGTATTAGTGGTAGTAATGTGGTAGTGGTAGTGGTAGTCGTAGTGGTAGTGGTAGTGGCAATGGTAATGGAAGTGGTGGTGATGGTGGTGGTGGTGGTAACCTGGTAGTGGTAGTCGCAGTGGTAGCGGTACAGGTAGTGGTAGTGGTAGTGGTAGTGTGGTGGTAGTGGTAGTGGTAGTGGAAGTGGTGGTAGTAGCAGTAGTAGTCGTAGTGGTGGTAGTAGTAGTAGTAGAGCAGTCGTAGTAGTAGTAGTAGTAGTAGTAGTAGTAGTAGTAGTAGTAGTAGTAGGAGTAGGAGTAGGAGTAAGGGTAGTAGGAGTAGGAGCAGGAGCAGGAGTAGGGGTCGGGGTAGTGGTTGTGGGAGTAGGAGTGGGAGCAGGAGTAGGGGTAGGAGCAGTAGGAGCAGTAGGGGCAGTAGGAGCAGGAGCAGCATGAGCGGCAGCAGCAGCAGCAGCAACAGCAGCAGCAGGTGTTGTCGTCGTTGCCGTCGGCGTCGTAGCAGTAGAAGTAGAAGAAGCGTTGAAGCGGAAGCAGGAAGCAGTGGCAGAGTACCGTTTGTAAGAGTGCTTCTTTCCGTGCAACTTCGCAGTATATGTATGTTTAGATATCATTGGTGTGTCTATACAACACACAGGTGTGTGTGTATATATATATATATATATATGTGCATGTACATGTGTATATATGTATATATATGTGTATATGTATATTTATATGTATATGTATATGTATATGTATATGTATATACATCTACACATACACACATTCATATAGGCATATATGTGTGTATATACTTGTATACATATAAGTATGAGATAGATAGATAAATGGATAGATCGGTGACGATGATTCCGGTGGCGACGATGAGCATGATGATGACGATGGTGATGATGAAGATGACGAACATGGTGTTGATGATGCTGATGGTGACGGTGGTGGTGGTTCTTTATGATCGTGAGGATCCCCTTTCCGCTTTCCTCATCGTCTTCCTTCTGCTGGTTGCCGAGAAGGACCGATTTACGTTGAAGGTTTAGGGTTTCGGTTTAGGGATCACAGTTTCCCGTACCAATTAACATTAGTTGAAATTATGTTTCGCGCCGAGGGTTTATCGACGCTCGGGTTCAAGTTTTAATTGTTTTGCGACAAAACGGCTTGTTGCTCTTGTAGGCGGATGCAGTAGCTTCCACGGGGTTGTACCCCTGTTTTACTTCCACTTGTAAGTACTCTGCTACCGCTACCCTTAACCCTAAACCCTGAACTTCAAAACCCCAAACCCTAGATCCTAAAAGCCAAACCGTGAACCCTAGAGCACCAAACTCTAAACCGTAGATCCCCAAATCTGAGAAACTCAACTGGGCATGCCTGCTGCGCACACAACACTCAGAAGGCACTGTGGTGGAAAGCTTATCAGAAATGATGCAAGGCTGCTTCGTCCCATGTTCATCCGTAACTTTAACTCTGATGCATCACCTGGAAAGAGGGTTTCCAATCTTAGAAAGAAAAACCAGCCCGAAATCATGCCCAACCCCAAACCCTGAATAAAGAATGCCACAGGAGCGGCGCTACTTCAAAAACCGTCCTGCCCCGATGGTGGAGCTGCCAGTGCCCAGTCTGACTTGCCGTCTCCTGCTAAACCCTAAACCGGTTTAATTAAGGAATATACTTTAAATTATAGAGGCCTTAGTATTTTGATTTAAGGTATATTCCCTATTTAAGGGGTATTGGGATCGCTGGGCTTCTTGTTCAGTCACGTCAGCGAATGAATATTGTAGAGGCCTTAATTATTAGACTGGGGACTCAGGAATTCCTTATTGTGGTTATAGTATAATATACCCCAAAGCCCTATTCTGATAATTAAGGCCCCTATATCACTGGATTCACTAAATGCTTCCAGTACATTGTCAACATTGTTTGATTATTGGCAGTATGATGATACTACTTGTATTGCTTTGCATCTGTTTGCACTCACCACTGCTAGTATTTCCATTGTTGTTACGTGGGTTGTTGTTGTCATTGTTAGTATCATCTTTTCGGTGTTGGTGTTGTTCATATTCTTCCCGTCCTTGGGACCGTAGTTCAGGTCACTGTGAATTTCAGGTCATCTTGCATCCGTGGTTACCCGTATGTTAACTAGTCACATTTTTTTTCCAAATTCTTTCCCGAAAAATGGCTGTTGTCATTGATACCTCTCACGCGCAGTTGTTCGTTGCTGCTATTCTTGTTTCATTCTGGACGCTGTACCCCTTGCTTGCCGTTTGTATTCATTGTCCGTCTGGTTCTGGTTGGTATGGCAAGTGCCAATTTCGCTGCATGGTTGTTGTCATTGTTCTGATTCGGATGCTCGTTACCATGGTTATGCACCGGGCACTATCACCGTCACTACTTGTTAGCGCCTTCATCGAAACTCCTCTTCGTGTTCGTTTGCTGATTGTTCACCCTTAAACCTAAACCCTTAAGCCTCTTCCCCCTTGGGATTTTCGGCATGCACTGCAGGTCGTAAAAGAGGCGCTTTAAAGAAACCCAAGAACGGCTTAGGGTGTCGGGACTTGAAGAGCTTGGGGCCTCGACGTTTAAGCGGCTACAACGCGGGTTCAAGGAGTTTGGGGATGTGTAGAGTGTAGATATGGGAGTTTCCGAAAATAGGGGACCCTATTATAGTACCCTAAATAGTAGGATTGCTGGAGTGAACCAGCAGGTTGAGTGGAGGATGCAAGTGGAGTGATCAGGTCCCCTGCAAAACTCAACCCAGCCATAGCTCACACAAGGCGGAGATTTTACGCACAAGAAGAAAGCAAGCAAAAAGAAGTCTGTGCTACTTGGGCTTGGCACCTACAGCTATGGTACATGTGTTGTTAAAATGTCATGCTCAAGGCGTTCTGTGCTTGGGCCTAAGAGCAACAAGGAAAAAGATTCCGCATGTACACATAGCAAAGGCTTGCAAACGAGGCATGCACTTCAGCACTCCTCCTTCGCAGCCCCGCCAGGGAGTTGCGACCTACTTGCTACTGCAGGTCCAACCCGTCAGGGTGACGACATACCTACCCTGAACTACCTGGCAAAAGCTGGGCCAACTGCCCTCACTATGCGAGGGCTCTCAAGGCACCTCGTGTAGGAAAAAGACACAGCTACGGATGAGCTCACTGAGAGATCCAACCCGTTAGGGTGGAGTAGTTCCTACCCTGTGCTGTGCTGGGTGTGGTCTGCAGTGGTGCCGTGGCACTGCTGGCACACTTGAAAGTCAACAAACCTGTGCGAGTGGGCGAGCGTGGAACAGGTCTTAGTGCGGTGGAGCTTGGTCCCTTCGGGGGTTGCAAAGTAACGCGTTGGTGCTCCACCTGCCTGCTCACGCGTGCGAGTTGTTTGTGAGGGGCGGCGTCTGGGCGCTGCAGCAACAGACTGCGAGCTTGCTGCTTCCTCACGTGCAGAGATCTCGGCCTGGATGGCACGCGCAGTTTGATCTCGAAGGCGCTGTAACTTGCGCGCCTTGCGGGGGCTCAGAGACAACACGGGTGTCCCTGCCTCTCGGCGGGAGATGACGCCTTGAAGGCACCGCTTGAAGAACTCCCACACTGCAATGAAGCAGATACCAATGCAGATGATGGATACTGCCAACATCAAATCTGCATCAAGCGACACGGGGGGAGACAAGTCTTCTTCCTCGTCCGTTGTCTGGCTGGCAGCACCTACGACCTGAAAGAAGGCGAGCAGGACAGCGAAGGCACTCAGCTGCAGGTCTTGCTGCGCCACGGTCCCAGTGCCCACAGCTTGAGTTTCACTGTAGGCCTGAGCTTCCGCCCGGCGAGGTACGCCATGCTCGCGCAAACCCCAGATGGCTGCGAGCTCATTGATCCTCGCAGATGGCAGTGCTTTCGTCAGAAGATCTGCGGCCTGCTCAACTCCTGGGCAGTAGACAGGGATGATCTCACCAGACTCATACTGCTCTCGAAGGTAGTTGGCGCGCACCCTTAGGTGGCGGGTTCGCCAAGACCCTTGGCCGATAGCGATGGCCAGTGCAGACTGTGAGTCAACCCTCAAAGTCTTGTCAAGGCTAGAAACCCCGAACTCACTCAGCATGGCCTCTGCTGACTGAAGGGCAACTACAGCGTCAAGTCCAGCAACAAGCTCGGCTTCTGCGGTGCTGAGGGTGACAAAAGACTGTCGTGCTGAACGCCAGCACACCGGCGACCCGTGAAGGAAAACCACCCACCCCGTGTGAGAACGATTCCCTTCCGGCGCATAGCTGGCATCACTATACGCGATCAATCCTGTGTCATCCGCATCAGCGGTGAGAGCCAGCGCCTTGGTACGCTGCACATACGCAAGGGCCTTCTCTGCAATGCGGATGGCTCGTTGCGGCGCCTTCGTGCTGAGAGAGGCAAGCACACAAGCAGTGAAAGCTAAGTCAGGCCGAGTGCGTTGGCTTAGCCACAGGATTTCTCCAGTCAGCCTCTGTGCTGTTCGAACGGTCTCCTCGATTGGGGACTCGTCCGTCAAGAGAGTGTCAAATGAAACAAGGTCACGCGGACAGGGGACCTTACCCAGTGCAGTGGGCTTCACGTCGTTGAGACGCAGCAGCTCTTCGGCGTAAGCCTGCTGGGACAACACAAACCCGGAACCTTGCACTAGGATTTCAACCCCTAAAAACCTCAGCGGGTGCTCTGCGGTGGCAAGTGCGAGAGGCGTCGTTTTCCAGATGCCTTGGATGGCCGTGGCCAAGGCTTCGATCACCTCTTTACTGCCTGCAAGCAAAAAGTCGTCAACGTAAGTGAGCAACCCTCCTACGACTACCCCGTCAGAGGTGCGAACAACACGCCACCAGTTTGGGTCCAACCTTCCTTGCTGGAGCTGCAGTTCAACTCCGTCAACAACACACCTCAGCGCCCGAAGTTGGCAGTCTCTAAAGTCCGACCAAAGCTTAGGCGACTCCCTCAACCCGTACACAGCGTGCGTGAGGATCCAAAGCTCCCCTTCCTCTGCCAAACCTAGTCTCACTAGCAACCTAGGCGGGTGAGAGCAAACACTGGAAAACCTCTGCCTTGCGGGATTGGGGTCAACAGAAAAGCTGAGGTGACATCTAGAGACCCGATGCACCAATTCCTCTTGGAGCTGATGATTACAAAACAACGGAGTGTCTCTGCAGCAGCACCTGAAGCGTAGACTTCAGACCCTGTGCCGGGGGCGTGGTTGCCACAAGCGACCAAGCGAGCCTTGCGTTTGTGGTAAGCTTGACCCTTCCGGGTAGCGAGGGCAGCGTCACCCTCAGAAGGGTCTGGTGGCTTGACTGTAAACACAAACTTAGACGGAACTACCTTCACTTCCTTACGCTTAAGCCAACCTCCCGAACGGACCTCTGCAGGGGGCAGTCGCCGCACAGCCTTCTCAATGACACCGATCTCTTTGTGAATGGACGGCATCCACTTCTCGATGCATTGCTCTGCATCCCGAGGGTCTACAGTGTGGACTACCTGCAGTGGTTCCTGCAACCCGTCAAGCACAGCTCCACGTTGGTAGTGTAAACCGGCTCAGACTTGCAAAGGGCGCAAGCTTCACTCGCGTCCGAGTCGTCAGACCTGAGAACACACAGCTGCTCACCTGTCTGCGGGTCTGGAACCCACAACTCCCACAGCACTGGTTGCTCCGGCAAGGAGTCTTCGCTTAAGCTCTCCTCCTCCTCAACCTGTGTCTCGGTGTCTGGTTGGCAAGCCAGCAGGGCGTGCTCAGACTGGGTTCGCCCTTGGTCCGGCGAGTGTTTCAGGTTCCACGACACCTCCAGCTCTACAGTACCTGCTTCTACGGCTTGGGTTTCTTTCCAACCTCCGCCTTTAAGCACAGTCCCAGGCGCTAACTCAGAAGCCTTCCCGTCAGGGTGACGTGCCTTTGTCTCCTGAAGGGGCTCTTCTTCGAAGCAGTCAAACGCGTCGAGACGTCTCACGTCTTGCTGCTCAGTCAGCGGTAAACGTACCGAGGCTGGGAGTGGAAAACCTAAAGCTTCAAGGCTTTGAAACTCGTGCTCAAGCTCTTTGCCTAACGTGTTGACTGTGTAGCCGACAAGCACTGCTCTCTCACCCTTCCAGGGAGTGGTGGCGTGGCGGCGAGTAGGGTCTAGGAAGAAGGGCTTACCGCGCTCTAACTTGTGAGTTGTCCCTAACCAGCGCCTGCCTTTGCCGTCTACCCGCTCCTCTACAGGGCCACTGACTAGGTCACCAGGCTTGAGTTCTATCCACAAATCCCCTCCGTTAGGCGGGAGCTTCAAAGGGAGGACTACATTTGTGGATCCCTGCAGGTTGTGGTGGTCGGCGTGCACGGGTTGAACAGTGGAGTTAGACAACCAAAGCGAGGTGTACTCTGCTGTGGGTGCAACTGCGGAAAGCACCATATTCATAAGCTCTGTCAGCCAAGGCTTATCTGTGGTACCCCCTAAAACTCCTACGACACCTCCGTGACGGTACAACCCAGCTTTGTGTTGCAGCTGGGGCGCTGCTCTGCACACTTCGGCTAGCACCCACAACGCTTCATCAAGGTCCCAGTCGTCCTCGATAAGCTCCGTAGCTAAACCTTCAAGGTCTTGCAGACTCAAGCGCGCTACACGGGCAGACTCCTCCTCAACCGGTGACACAGGCCCTTCCGGGTGTGGAGCTTCTGCTGGCGGCGGCAAGGGAGGCGGCGGGTCAAGTGCAAAGACGTCGTCAAGTCTCACACCCGCAGACCGCTTGCCGCGAACCCTGCGTGGAGGTGGTGTGTGCTCCTCCTCAAGCGAGTCTCCTACAAACTGCAAGGGCGGTGGATCCGGAGAAACAAGGCGGGTGCGAACATGGAGTGTTTGCACAAAGCCGTTGCCAACACCATCGCTGCGCAACACGATGTGACCATCATTCACAGATGGTGACAACCCCATATACTTACCTTCAACCCATCTATCCTCCAAATCACCCTTCTTGCTAAACAACTTTCGCTTCACGGAACACTTCCCTCCAAAATGGATGGCAAGCTTGGACTTCATGCCCAGCTGCTGCGCCCGTTGCTGAGCCGCAGCTGTCATGATTGCACAAGGCCACAAGGACGAGTCGACCTCGCCAGAGGTGAGAAGGGTTCGTGCTCGTGCTTTGAGCCAGCGCACGGTGTTCTCAGCAGAGCCGTTCTGCTGCGGAACGTCCCCTTCTGTTGTTGTTGTGCGGACTCCACGCTCGTGAAACCAAGCTCGAGTCCTTTTGTTGAAGAACTCACGACTGCGGTCTGTGTGGAAACGAAGCACGGGGAGGTTTAGGGACCTTAGGGTAATGTACACCTGTTGGAGGGCATTGAGGATATCATCACCCTTGTTTGTGTGAAGTGGCACTGCAAACACCAGCCTCGCCATGTCAGGCGGTGTTTCGAGTTCACACCTGGCTGACTCCCAGGGATGCTCCTCGGCAACTTTGGCTGCAAACTCCCTAGGCCCTTCAACTCCTTCACCTTCCGCCTCCTCCTCTTCTTCCGCTAAACTTGGCTCGTACAGGGAGTCCTCGTAATCCTCGCACGGGGGGCCTTCTGCTGCGGGAAAGGCCTCATCTGCAAGGTCATCCGTCCCTCCCGGGAGGAGTGCTGCATCATCAAACCCCTCGGTTTGGCTGGGGTCTGACTCCTCCTTCACTCCTCTGAGCCGTGGGAAGCGGTACGACACAGCGAGGAAGTACTTGAACGTGGCTGGTCGGTGGTTGCGGCTTTCTGGGTCTTTGCCCTTCACACGGATGGGCCCCGCAATGTCGGCTGACATGCAATACACATCCGGGTGAACTACACCGTGGTGGCGGCGGCCGTTTCCGGCACCGTGCACGCAAACTGCACAATCACGGCGGTACGGCACGTGATTGTTCGCAACATGCTGTTCCCAATCCGCTTGGGTGAATTTCATGATGCGGTAACATGGCCAACGTTGGAGTGCGTACACGATGGCTTGCACAAACCCCGGCGCCCACACTGGAGACACACGGCTGTCGGCGCTACAACAAACCTGCGGCACCTCCCCCGGCAACGCTTGCAAGTCTCTAAGGTCGGGCAAGTTTGTGCCAACAGTTGTGGGTTTATCGCCAGCGTGCCCCAACGGACCTTGACGGAAATGCACCTCAAACAAACCAGCCTCTTCAGCGTAAGCTTGCCACAGCGCGGTATTCCAAAACGACGGAGCGCTACCCACAGCAGAATGGCTTGAAGCCATGTGGTGTTCAACCGACGGTTGCTCCAACATGAATGCCACCATGGATGTTCCATTCGATGGGTTTGGGTGCACACGCCTCCCGGCGGTGGAGAGTGCATGCAACCACAACATGCGAGCATACAAACCCGTATCACGATCAACGAGATCACGCTCGTCAGAGGTGAGAGTGCTCAGGCCAAACGGTTCAGTGGGCGAGCGGAGTGGATGTGGTCCATCGGCGCGGTGCCCTGTCATGGACCACGTGCGGGTTGGTGGACCTCCAATGACCGCCGCAACTCGTCCCAACTTTGCAACCTTAGCAAGAAGCGTCCAAAGCGGATCATGGTAAAGATCTTGGCTCCTTGAGCGGCAAATGTCAAGCTCAACAACAACTGTATCCTGCGACTGCAATCGTTTGAAAGCCTTGTGCGAGCCAGGGCCCGCAAACAAATGAACAACCCAATTGGATGCGCGATGAAGCGCCTTCCTCCTTCGCCGGTTGAGGTTTGGCATGCCTTCTTCAAGAGCTTTCCACAAAGTCTTGGAGTCCACAGCTTCCGATGGGAGTATGCCTGACAATGCACGGTCGGGCACATCCTGAAAGAATGGAGCTGTTGACACTGCCATGTGGCCCGATGCCGGCGCCGACGAGCTCACATGCTCAACCAAATGATCCCACCACGTGCGCTCCATTGCGATTTTCGCCTGTCTGATGCGATCCTTCCCCTCATCCGTTCTTCGCCTGAGCTCCTCAACCTGTTGCATTTTGTGCTCTTCCAACCGTGATATCAGCGTAAGGGCTTGGCTCTCAACCAATTCCGGGCAACCATTTTTGACCCTAAGCCTCAACGACTTACCATCAGGAGGATACAGCTTGCAACTACCGGCGGACCAAACCAGCTTATACCCCAACTGCTCTATGATAGCACCCATGGGAACAATTGGCTGCACTAGGCCGTCCCTTCCGGGTGGCAGTAGGAGAGTGCCCGCGCGCGTCAAACGCATGATTGTGCTTTGGTCGCCGGCTAGACTCACTTGCACTTCCTCTGCCGTCTCCCACTCCTCCTCAGATGAGGCTTGTCGCATGGGGTGAGTGGCACCGGAGTCGAGAAGGGCGTAGCCAATGAGAGGTGGTTGGGATGCAACGGGTGATGGCTCCACAGCGGGCTCAACGGCAGGAGAATTCAAAATTTCCCGGTTTGGGGGGCCCGAAACCGGGAAACAACTTGAGGGCATGACGGAGCGAATCGTGAGCCTCTTCACCGAAGGATTAGGTGCCGAGGACTGTTGTGATGCAGTACTCAAGCCTTCCGGCTGAGGCTGAGGCGGATCGCTACGCGGTGGCTGGGGATCGAGCTGCCTCAAAGCTTGGACTGCCTGTTGCATAAAGGACTCGAGCGTGACGGGCATGCCATTCGCGATAGGTGTAGCCTGCACTGGCGCTTGAGGTGTTGATGCTGATGGTGATGTTGCATCCTGTGCTGCTGTTGTGGTCCTTTGCACCGTGGGCTTATCGGGTGATTTGGCATCGGACTTCGCGCCCTTGCCAACGGGACAATCCTTTGCACGATGCTCCTCAGAGCCACACACCAAACACTTTTTAAACCGCTCAGCCTTAGAGAGCTCGGTCATGGAATGTGGGAATTTGCACTTAGGGCCATTTCTACACCCCTTCCGGGAGAGAAAGAACTTACACGGCTTGGCACCTGCTCCTCCCGAGCCTTTCCCATGCCCCTGAGGTTGGTTTCCACCACCTGGTGCATCTGCGGTTGCATTCAACGCTTGGGCTTTGGGATTGGTGACTACGCGCTTTGAGTCCAGTGCCCCAGCCATGGTTTCAAACTCACCCAGCAAATGCTTGTGGTAGTCTAAAACCTCCTCTCCCGATGGGTGCAGGTCAATGTGCAGTGCACTACGCACGACTTGAGTGCGGAACTGCACATCTGGGTGTTTGGCTATGTGTTGGGCTGTTGCCGTGGTTAAACCACGGGCCAGAATGGACGGATCAGGGGCTACCATCCCACACTCCAAACAACGACGATGCCAACGACCCCACGACCTCAACAAGTTTACTCCTGCAGCCACTTCCGTAAACTGCGGTGGATCATGCAAGTTCCTGAGTATGAGGTCGCGCTCATTCGTTCCACCTGGCTGGTAAATCGTATGGAGGCGGAACATGATGTGTGCTGCATTTTGAGTTGCCCTGCGTGCTACGATGTCCGATTTCACAGACGCATCCAGTGCTTCCAACAGCATGGCACACGCCCTAGCGTTTACCCTTGACCACTTGCCCTCAACAACCTCCGCCCTATCATCAGGAGCCACCCTCAAACGCTCCACCGGGGACGAAACACTCCAACGGGCAAATGCATCACGCGCCAACTGCAACACACTGGACCACCAAAGTTGAGAGCTGTCCGAAAGATCAACCATCAACCCACTCACCAACTCAAGCCAGTCTTGAAACTCCAAGGAGCCACCCGAAGGATTAGGCGCAACGAGTTTTGGCAAGGTGGTGATCCCTGGTTTAACCGTTTCGGGCACATCATCGCCTTTAACCTTGAGCTGTTGAGCCTGTAGGCTTTGCAGCTGTTGCACCCCCAAAACCAGAGCATCCAACACTGAACTTGGGGCTTGTGGTGTTGTGTCCTGCCCTCCTGGAGTCGATGCAACCTGAGCGCCTACAGCCTGAGAATATGGCACTTGCCCGTCCCTTCCGGGCGGCGGTGGCGGCGGTGGTGGCTGCCCTACGTTGGTGGTAAAGCCATCTAAAACCGGTGGATTGGCTGGTCCACCTAAGCTCGGAGCCCTCAACTGCCCCAAACCCAGGATTTCGGGCTGAGAATGGGGGTTTGGGCCAGAAGAGGCCCGCTCAGGACCTGAAGCGAGTGGAACCTGTGCTGATTGAGCCATGGGCTCTGACACAGACCCAACCCTTCCGGGTGGTGTAGCACTGCCCGGCAGCCTTTGCGAACCTTGCAAGCCCGACCACAAGTTGGACCAAAACCCTGATGTGGATGCTGGTGCTCTCAGGGCCTCAATGACCTGATCAGCCAAAGACAAAGTTGGGATGACAGGATTCGCACTTGGAGGCGCAGCACTGGCGAAAGGTTGAGGAGGGATTGGCGGGTGCCCACAAGGGGTCTGCGTTTGGATGCTCCTGGCAAGTGCTGCTTCCCTAATGGCTCGCTCCCTCTGCTCATTCGCCTCTGCTAGTTGCTGCCTTAACCTCTCATTTTCGGATTCCTGTGCCTGCGCTCTGGCCTCAAACCCCGCAAGCTGCCTGGCGACCTCTGCTTGAATAGCCTCCTGGGGTATTGACGACGTCTCCGTACGGCTAGGGGGCCGCTCAGGGGCTGCAGATCTAGGGTAGATGATGGGAGCCCGCTGCTCAAGAGCTTGCATGCGCTGCAGCGTTTCCGCATTAAGTAGCGGGGGTTCCCTTCCGGGACCCGGGGCAAAGGTAGTGGGTGTGCCGAGTGATCCCGGCTGCGGCGGCGAACTACTTGACCCCACACTCCCATCTGCCAAGGCCCTCACCCTAGATGTTGCACCAGGGCTTGCGTGAACATGTACATGACGTGGCGGTGTCTGGGCCTGCACCTCAGTCCTTGCCACGCGGAACAACTCGGAAACACGAGACATAAAAACACCAGGGATACCCTCAACCATCTCGGTGATGGTGGTCAAACCCTGTTGCGAACGTGGGGTGACAAACCCCTCAACTCCAGGAGCTTCCCCAGTTGACCTTATGCCCCCCAAACCACCATCACCACTTTGGTCTGCAACCTCGCGGTCCTCACTCAAAGTGTCCTGACGGGGCTCAGTGTTGGCCCGTGGTCCTGGGCTTCCGCCCGGAGCTGCAAAGGCAAGTGGCATGCTTCGGGGCATACCCTGCTCAATCCCACCCTCACCGGTGGTCGACACATGTTGCAAGCCTTCTGCTGGGTCTGTGCTAACACGCGCCCTTCCCGCAGCCGAATCAACCACAAAACCCAAACCACCCTCTGTGCCGGCGGTGGGTGCATCAGGTGTTGTGGACGTCGCATGCCCTGTGGTGCCATAGCCCTGCGTTGGGCTCATAACCTGCTGGAGTGAACCAGCAGGTTGAGTGGAGGATGCAAGTTGAGTGATCAGGTCCCCTGCAAAACTCAACCCAGCCATAGCTCACACAAGGCGGAGATTTTACGCACAAGAAGAAAGCAAGCAAAAAGAAGTCTGTGCTACTTGGGCTTGGCACCTACAGCTATGGTACATGTGTTGTTAAAATGTCATGCTCAAGGCGTTCTGTGCTTGGGCCTAAGAGCAACAAGGAAAAAGATTCCGCATGTACACATAGCAAAGGCTTGCAAACGAGGCATGCACTTCAGCAAGGATCCTTATAAGAAGGACCCCAAAATAATGTACCCCTAATTTTCGGAAACTCCCATATAGGGCTTGAAGGGATGGCAGGCTTTTAGGGTTTGGGTTTAGGTCTTGTCGCATATCCGGGTTTGACCAGCAAAAACATATTCGATCTCATACGTCTTCAAGAGGCACATTGGGATCCGTGCCCCTCAATCTAAAACCCCGAACCCTAAGCCCCGCTGTAGACCCTAAAGCCGTGAACCTCGGAGATCCCAAACCCCAAACCACAATAGTCAAGAGCCCTGAACCCATACCCCCAATCCCTGAAGCCAAAACCCCTAAACCCTTAAAACCTTGAGCCCTGGACCCTAAACCCTAAACTCTAAACCCGTAGACACCGTAGCCGCTGAATCCTTGCAAAGAGTGAGGTGCCATCGCCGAGTCCAGAGGCTACCAAGGGGCAGTTTTGCTGCGGCATGCTTACAGGATCATGGGACTTAGTAACCAAAAGGTCTCCTTCATAGGATTCTGTAAGGGGTCTTTAAGGGCTTAGGGATCTAAGGATCATGGGACCTAGCAACTAAGGTCGTAAATGAGGTAGCTATGCTTGTAATTGCTGACAAGCCCAATTAGGGTACGTGTAACCTGGCTTACTAAGTCCCCCGATCCTCCAAGTAGGGGCTGCGGGGCTTTGTTTTTGCAGGTGTAGCACTATCCCAGGGATTCCTTAATACCTATCAATATTGTCTACTTAGAATTCGACTGCTTGTAGGACTTGGGAGTTCAGAGTGTCAGGGTTTCAGTTAAGTTGGGTAGAGGTTAGAAGCTGCCCCCACCCTGTAATAGTGACTATACGGACTACATTAGGGCCCTATGATATTCCGATTATACCACTATTACAGGGTGGGGGCAGCTTCTAAGGTAGAGGGTTTCAGCGTTACGGACTTGGACTTTGAACCCGGAAGCATAACATGGCTTGGTCTTGGATTGTGAGTATTGCGCTAAGGTTGGGGGTAGTGTGAGTTGTCCTTTCATCCACGAGTGGTCCTACTAAGATCCAGAGCACTTTGCCAAAGCCTCACCCCGAAGCTTGGGAAAAGAGGAACAAGGCCACAGTTAATCATGCAGGATTTATATTTGTAACCGTAGGAATCTTCCCGAAACCTTAAAACTAGTCTTCGCTTCGATTCAGGTGATGATTGAAGCAGATCGCCAATTCAGGGAACTGCGACGGCGTCCGGGCATATCTTGAGGTTTCGTTTTGGCTTTCCGGCCCGGCGAACATACCAAGAACACCCACAGCTTTTAGAATCGTTTTAGAACACATAAGCCGTTTCTTGAGGCCGTAACAAAACTGTTTCTTACCTCAATGAGATGCTGCTATGTGCTGTTGCCAGTGTCAAGGATTAGGGTTCAGGGTTCAGGGTTTTCACCGTTGGTCTTGGTGACTAAAACCCTCTGTTTGGTGCTATCTTCAATGCTGTGCTACCACGTTCCTCGATACTTAAAGGGTTCCTTAATGCTTAGTTATAGGGTTCCTCAATATTTAAAAGGGGTCCTCAATACTTAAAGGGTTCTTATGTTGC